ATGAGAACGGATCATCTACTTCTCTTTCTAACTATTACTAAAAAGATAGCTACCTATGTAAATTTAGGATGAAAAGCGGTAAACGCACTCATAATGAAAGAGTAATCCCTCGCTTCTTGTTCTTTTAAGAGTCCTTTATTCTTTTCTAGATTCCTATGGAAGACGTAGTTCTCGAACCTCCATTGCGTTCAAGTTCTGAGACCTGGGCTGTAGGTTACGACCTTGGACTCAGATTCGCCAGCTTCTTCTTCGTCTGTTTGCAAAATGATTGTTTTGGAGCTCTTCTGGCCAGTTAGCTTATACTCCATACATTTTGTGAAACAGTAAAAACCGCTTGAAGGTTGATCAAGACTATGAGACAACTTGTACAGACCCAACCCAAATATCACGCCCCCATCATTTCACTCCTTCCCTCCTTACAGAAAAAACTTTGCCCACGGTTTTGCGAGTGATATTGCCAATTTTCGCGTTGAGACATGGAAAAAGATGCCTCTCTAGCGACCTTTGACGTACTACTGAGCCTCGTAGTTGAATCAATCTTCTGAGCCACTGAGCTTTAGTTGGTCTCATTCACAGTGATAACATGATCCTTTTTGAGATTCCCATCGATGAAGCATTCCTTTCAACGGCACTCCATCCTCCGCTCCACCGCTGAGAATTTTCTTCTCTCACGACTGCCTCTTTTCTGGAGCTAAGAGAGGAGCGAACCTCAACATAAAATCAGGATGGGCCAGTGATCACGTCAAGATACCGACAAACACATCTCACCAAGTGATCAACGTAGATAGATACTTTTACCGAACTACCAAGCTTACACAGTCTCAAAATCATACATTAGTTTTCGACATTAAAATCAAAGATTTTATAATCTACCTTGAGCCATAAAGATCCCATGTCTTCAAAATCCTCGCAATGATACACCCATCCCTAAACGCCAGAAATATGCACGCCGCCTAGAACAACCCGATTCCTAATCATCATCCATTGGCATCTCGTCATCAATATACCTGACCAAAGTAATTCTCATCTCAGTTGAATCATGACCCCTAAGAATATCACTGATGAAGTGAGCCTCAACTTGCATTTGTACCATCTCCAGTGCACCCCTCAAAATCCCACAGAAGATATTCGAATACCACAACTCATCTTGTGCTCTTCCATCGTCTGGCAATTCCACAAAGTCGGCCAAGGGATTTTCTTCGAATATTAGGGAAAATTGTTTGTTATCGCTCGTCCAGTTCGATACCGCCGGGGTGATGTTCAAGAATATCTTAAACCCAACCTATTGTTTTTTATCAGCACTAGGTATGCTTCGCAAAGTTCGCACAATACCGATTGAAGCCATACCTTGGAAATCATCTCCGCAGTCTCTCTGAAGTTCGAGCAACGTCTCATGGTATTGGACTTGGCGAGATAATCTTCGATTAAACGTAGCCCAATATTATAGCCCATCTTATCGAGTTGTTTGTTGACTTCTACATAATCATTTTCGTAATCTTTGCAAAGTTGTGCGACAATGGTTCCATAGGTGAGAGTGACTAGCTCGGCATTGACTTTGTCTACACGACTTCTGGATGCTGATTAGCCATCGTGAGATATGGCAAGTGTTTCTCGTGCTGCTGGTGTACTTACTTCCAGACCCTGAGTTGCGCATTAGTATATGTCTCCTTAATGACTGACAAGAGATTACTTACTCCTCACCCATCCTCGCGGCTTTGTTGGAAGCCATACTTGTGTCTTGTAATTCTTAAACTGCACTTGAAATCGGGTTGTGAAATCAATTCATGTTCCGAAGCTGTTCTTGCTACATAATAATATTCCCATTGAAGCTGGAAGCTGGTCCAGGCACAAGCCGGATAGGCGGCCGCACTTTAGCGTACTTTTTTAGAAATTCATATTGCGTTCTGCTACTGAGCCTTGGTGCCAACAACGCGCAGCTTAAAACATCCATATCATTTCTCGAAGAATCACGCGTAGCTTGAAGGAAGAAGCTATAATCATGTCCTCTGGAAAACGTCCAGCTTCTGGATCCTTTGGATCATCTCAGATGGTTGTGAAGAGACAGAATGTAGGCAATGAGAGCACAGCTTTATCCACCACAAATGGTTCAACTGGCAATGGCGCGCTCATTCAAGCAGTACGTACCTATCAATATTGATGGCATAATCTGCTATCTGCGAGGCGCCTGACTGACCTTTGTAAAATAGGTACCTCGGACGAGTGGTTTACAAGCTCCAGTGATGCAATTGGAAGGGCATTCAGGAGAGGTATTTGCTGCCAAATTCGATCCCAATGGAAACTATATCGCTTCAGGGTCAATGGATAGATCAATTAGTGAGTATCACGTATTAGTTCTTTATTGCGTGCATACTGATTCATTGTAGATTTATGGAGAACGTATGGAGATTGCGAAAACTACGGAACTTTAACCGGACATAAGGGCGCAATATTAGATTTACAATGGTCGCGCGACTCGAGGGCCTTGTTCTCAGCATCTGCAGACATGCATCTAGCCAGTTGGGATTTAGAAACCGGTACAAGGATACGAAGACATGTTGGACACGAAGAAGTAATCAATTGCATGGATATCAGTAAAAGAGGAGAGGAACTTCTCATAAGTGGATCAGACGATGGGTATATAGGTATTTGGGATCCAAGGACAAAAGCTGCTGTCGATTTCATCCCTACTGAGTTCCCTGTCACGGCTGTCGCATTAGCTGAAGCTGGAAATGAGCTGTATTCAGGTGGGATTGACAATGATATCAAGGTGTGGGACATGAGGAGAAAGGCTGTGGTATATTCTATGCTTGGCCATCAAGATACGATTACATCGCTTCGAGTTTCGCCTGATTCTCAAACACTTTTATCGAATTCCATGGACTCGACGGTTCGAACATGGGATATCAGACCATTTGCGCCCACTGAACGACATATCCGAACTTTTGATGGCGCGCCGGCAGGAATGGAGAAGAATTTGATTCGGGCAAGCTGGGATCCGACTGGAAAGAAAATCGCGGCTGGTGCTGGAGATGGCACTGCTGTTGTTTGGAACAATGAGAACGGTAAAATATTGTACAAATTACCTGGTCATAAAGGAACGGTTAACTGTGCCGAGTTATCGCCTGGTAAAGATCCTATAAGTAAGATTTCCTCCTTCAAATCTGCACCTTATGTTACTAACAATCTTTTAGTTCTAACCGCTTCTTCGGACCGTACATTGCTCTTGGGAGAATTGAAGTGAGATAAGGAGGAGGTCAAAGTCAATGAAAAGATACCCAACCACAAAAATCTTGCAGAAATTCGGAGTTTAGGAATCAGGAACTTTGAAGCTTACGAAAAGCTCTGCAACCCATTCGGAAGGCGTTGAGGGGATAGGTAGGGATTGCGCATGCGAGTAGGGTTAGCCTTACAGATGTTTTCAATCGACGGCAATGGTGTAATTGATACGAGAAAGTTGGAAGACCTGAACAAGCATGGATAAATGCTATGAAAAACATTCATACCTTTACCCCTCACCAATCCAAATCAATATATTTGGTTCAAGCCACGCAATATATTATTGCTAATTAAAATAGCCACAGTACGAGATCTGCAAAATTAGAAATTTGTATGGAGCTGGGTGGCTGGATCTTATCTGTAAAAATATAGAAGTACAGATAAATGTGTAGATTGTATCATCAAACACCTGTGTAAACACCAAGAATATCACATATGTGAATTGACTGCGTTTGTGAGATGCATACCGTACTTTCATATTTCTTTCTACTAAAATCATTACATACCTACCTGCCTACCTATCTAGGTGAACTAGATGTTTCTAATCCGTGCTCTCTGCATAAATCATAGCGTTTTCTTCAAAACTCCAAGGTCTTGACCTTTCATCATAAGCAGCGCGGTTAATCAATTAGACGAGCTCAACCCCCTGAAAAAAGAAAGAAGGAAGAAATTTGATTGGTGGATCACAACCTTCATCTGAAACAGACTTAAGATTTGAAAGGCTTCACCTCGAACTAAATATGTCCCAGGTCAAACTTCATTTAGACCCAAACAAATTTAATCTACAAGTCACATCCTTACATCCCTGAATGCGGCTCGCAATTGGAAATATGTCAAACATCTTGATATGCAGGGCCACTGTTATTTTCGTCGCAGATTTATCCGGTATTGTATCAAATTATTTGCTACCCATGGCCATCTTCTAGTCGTCTTCTATGAGACATGAGAGATCAATAATTATTAGCCAGCTTCTTGAGGGGGTTCTGTCGTTCTTTCTCTGCCTACCAAAATAGAGTAGTGAGTAGTGACTGGGACGAAATTAACTACCTGGTACAGTCCACTGAAATCATCATCATCGGCCAAAGCTTTTTCTCCTATCCTGTCTTTTTTTGTTCGCATCTTGTTTATGTTTGCATATCTTGCTTGAGCTTGAAGTCCGTGAGCTGTGTTCTCCGTTCCTTCTTACCCTTACGTCCCTTTTTAGTGGTCAATTTCGAAGCAATTTCTGACTATTCGAGACTCATTCGTAGAGCGAAGGAGTTCTCTCTCGGACGTTTCGTATTCTTCTCTCACTCTTCACTCTCTTGGTCATCTCTTGGTCTTTGCGCTTTCTTTTGTGCATCTGGGTTTGTTACTTTACATCACAGTTTCCCCATATTCTTTCCGGATCCTTCTACTGCCTACCTGCATATCCTGTCGGTTGGTGGATACTGATTTGCGAACGATTGCTGGCTTTTCGATTCGGGCGTGCAATGAGGACGGGTAGATTTGTTTACCACGATAATTTCACCTTTTCTTCGATCTAATGTCTTCGTGTTATATCATACAAGGTCGTGTTGACAGGGCCTAACCTCTCGCTGTGGAAAACAAAACAACTCGGGGGCGCCGTGGGTTGCGCAAACAACAAAAGCAACTTAATTTTCTCAAGAAGGAAGGATATTGTTTCGATCGCACATTGTCTCTATTCACTAATTTCGCGACACATTTCGAAGTAGCATATGAAAATGCCTCCACGACAGAATGAGAGTGGACAGAGGGATGTGCCATCGGGCGAATCGGATAGGCGTCAGTCGAGGTTGGAGGAAATTCGAGGGGGGCTAAATTCGATGTTCTCGGGACGATCAAGCGTTGAGGCTAGGAGTTCTTCCCCCGAAAGTCCAAAAGCTCCACGATTAGTTGGCCTTAGCAATCTGCCATCAACTCGAATCCATATTCCGGGCCTCACTATAAGTCGAAGCTCGACGCGCCGAAACTCTGCTGCTGCCGAACCAACATTACCTCGACATGAAGAACGTCGTCCTCCTCCTGTCGCGACTCGTTCCAATAGTAGACTCTCACAATCTACACAACTTCCAGCAGTGTCGTCTCCCATTTCGACAATACCACCTCGAGTGCGAAGACGATCGGAGCGCAGGTTTCTTAGTGTAGATCCTGCTGAGCAGCATCTAGCCGACTTAGCAGATAGAGGTAGGAGAAGAAGGGGAACTCCAAGGGGAACGCAAGAAAGTGGGAGAGGCTGTGCGCCGAGAATCCGGAACAAAAGAATACGCCAAAAGATATTGCATTCCTTAATATCTGGGCTGGTATGTGTTGCATTTTTCTCCACATCTCTTTTCCCCCACAATGTTCTAATGTAATTTATAGTTTCTCGTTTTGGTGCTCACGATATATCTTGCATTGGCATTGTCAGATAAGGATGAGAGCCAAGAATTTCACGTTCTCTTAATTTTGATTATCTTGATAGTTACTATCTTCTTCTGCCATTCTTTGATTCGCCTCTGTATGATGATCTTGAAACCGCCGATAGAGGGAGAACCCAATCCACGACGTCTCCCATCGATGGTTGGACCTGGAGGTTATGCCGAAACCTCAGTCCCTATACCCGTCGCGCTCGCCAGAGATGAAGAAGCAGCGGGTATTGAAAGCCAAGCTACGAAAGTGCCGCCTCCAGCTTATGGATTATGGAGAGAGTCGGTGGTAAGTAACTTCAATCCATAGTGAAGACGTGACACGATCATCTAACAGTATAAATAGAGGGTTGACCCAAATCGGATTTTCTGGCAAAGAAATGAAGCAGCGTTAAATCGTTCCATCTCTCGAATATCCGAACGTCCCTCGACGGCTAATCGTCCCCCGTCATATATGTCTGATGATGGCATTGATTATGTAATTGAGGCAGCACCTCGTTCAACGGTGACGGGAGAAGACGTATTACCTCGACATCCAGCTGATCGATCCGAATGGCCTCGTATATCTAACTAACCATGTCTCGTAAACGGACATGGAAAATAAAACACTATGAGCATAAACCCTTGATGGGCTTTGTTCGAATTCTTTAATTGTTTGGGAAAATCGAATTCCACAATTTTGGACTTGGAGATATGGAGTTTTTGATTTGATTTGATCTGGGGCGTTTAGATGCACATACCTATGGAATATTGATAGCGTTTAGCATAGTGTTTGGAGTTTTTTTCTCTCTTTTGTTTCTGTCTTTCTACTTTTTGTGGGTGGTATCTCTCGTGGCTCTTGAGTTGGTCATGGTTATTTATGTATATCTGGTGGAAACGTGGAAAGGGTGTTGAATATGGAGGGAGGGGAGACACATGTATATATAGCAATACATGCAATGCAGTATTTGGAGGGGAGTGTGTTGGGAGTAGAGATTGGAAGTTTAGATATTAGTCTTGGCTTGCAATTGGATGCAGAGATGGTGGATAGATGTGGAGATGGGGGAGATCATTGGATCGATTGGATGGATGATGGATGATGGGTAGATGGATAGATGGATAGATGGGTGGAGATTCTAGATTCTGGAAGAGATGTGAATATAAAATATATATATATATATATACAATATCAGAAGTAACAAATAACAAGTAACAAGTAATAAATTTCAAAAGAGCCGCATCGTATTGTCATTACGCGTGGGAGTTTGCATGGCATGCATGTGCAAGACGTCTTGCTCGGGTGTGTGGAGGTAGATTAGATTGATTGGATTGGATTGGCTGATTGTTGGATGCAGCATAGAGTAGCTTGAGTAGGTAATTAATTAGATACTAGGTAGGTAGGGTAGGTAAGGTAAGGTAAGGTACGGAATGGCATGCGGTTCAACCGTTTCGTTGTTGATTCTGTATCAAAGTTTTGGGATCGGGAGGATGGGTGGATGGGTAGATGATGGATGTAATTGCACTGTATAAAGTATGTCTATTCAGATACATACATACCTAGTTGTTACTGTTTGATGGATGTACATATGTATGGGAGAATATCTAGTTAGTAGGTATTAACCTTACTCTTCAGATATTGTACTCGTATAAGTTTCATGGGGTACAACGACGAATATACCCAATATGGCAGAATGCCATTGTTCTATCCCAGAGTAGAAATCAGGTGGGTATAGAATGTAATATGGAATATACCGTAAAAACTCGACAAACTAAGATTCTATTTAACCACATTTAGCCTAGTATATTATCAATCCCCCCAAACCTAAATCTATATAGAAATTAGCTTAATATTAGAAAACAATAATGGGATGATATATTAAAAAGTTCTGAATAATTTTTAAAAAAGATTTTTAAATTAATAATCAATATTTTATTTTCAAATTATAAATTCTATTATTCCTTAATGTGTTGTTTTAAGCTTTATATTTGTTAATCAATATGAAGGTTGGAAAAATATTATTGCTATTAAAAAATCTATTCAAAATCTTATTTATTCTAATCCTAAATTATATATCTTATATTAATTAGTTTTGAAATATAAAATTATTAATAAATTTAGGCAAACTCAATTCAATTAATTATATAAATTTAAAAAACGCATGATTCAATAATATTTATAGATTAAAGTATGGCATTTTTATTATAAAATGCATCAATTTAAGGAAAAATGATTATATTATAGTTGTCACGGCGCCAACTACGTTGCCTTCATGCCTCAGGCATACACCATTAGCATGCCCTACTTCCTATAAGAGGGCTTTACCCTTTTATAGCTCTTCTACCCTTATAGTATAATATAAGTCTTTACCTATATCTTAATAATTTGTATTATCTTTTTAGAAGCTATTCTAACTTCATTTTTATTTCAAATTCGTTAAAGTTCCGATTTGATTGAATTGATTAGATCTATTACCACCCTATTATATACTCTAGTTATTACTATTCTGAACTTTAGTTGTAATTATAGTCAATCAGACATTTACACCTGATCTATCCCCTTAGTTCTTATTTTTGAATTATATTCTTAATTCTATTGAAACTAATATCTCCTTATTTATAAATCTATTTAACAATCCAAGTATTGTACATTTTGTAGTTATTCAAGCTATATTTGAATTAATCAAATTGTATACAAGTATATTCCAAATCTAAATTATTGATATTTAGACCAAAATCAATGAATTAGATGAATTAATTAGTATATTGAAAATTGTTATTCGAAATAATTCACAGACTTTATATTACTGTAAGTACTTTATTATTTTTGAGAAGTTTAATAATAATAAATAGAATATTGTAAAGTATTAAGATTAATATACTATATTTCACAATATTATTAATTGTTGCTTAATTACAAATTACAAAAATAAATTGGAATTTCAGAAAATCATATTTTTTGTTAATCTGCTTTCTAATTCTGTTTATATGAATAATCAAATATATTTCAATGTAATTACTAATAATCTATATAATTTCAATCTTTGGCCTCCCAAATAATATATTATCATAAGTATTTAAGGCGAATTGAATAAGTAATATCAAATTCTTAATCTTTTCTATAAGGCTTTTATGAATTATAATAAGTGTAGGATAAAGAAGACTCTATTCAGCAATTTTATTACTAAGTTTAAGCAGCTTGCTATTAGATATAGAAAAACTGTTGAATAGCAGATTATAGATTTTAAGTTTAAGATTTTATAAGAATTAATTAATATATTTATTAATCACCCAAATAAACCCTTTATTATTAATATTAAAATATAAATAGTTTGATAATAAAGCATTTATAATAACTTAAAGGAAAAAGCTTATCTCAATAATTAATAAAAAAATCAAAATACTAATTTCAATTGTAATTATCTTAATAATTAATAAAAGAATTAAAATACCAACTTCAATTATAATTAATCGAAATTCTATAATAAAAAGCCGATTATTATTGTATTTCCTTTTATATCTAATCTCTCCAATGATTCTATGTAATTAGATACTGTTTGATTAGATTAATATTTTTCAATTTATTATATTTAAAAATAATATATTGAACTTGGCCTTTATCTTTATTATAAAAAGCTAGATTATATTAAAAGCAATTATAAGAAGAAATGAATTAATAATATAAAGTATAATATTAATATTAATATAAGATATACCCCTTATACTAATTATTTCCTTATAATTAACTAATATAAGAATCCTAGATTCTATTATAATATAGCTATTTTTTTATACCAGAATTCGTTTTCATCTGTTAACCGTTCCTTAGTTATACTATTACAATACATTTCCTTGACCTCCTTTAATTTTATCCAAATATTTGATTTAGAAGATTATATCGAGGGTTTTATTTATTTGGAGAAGAGTAGTAATTTAATTTTCTAGCTAAATATATTAAAAGATTAATTTTGATTTATAGTTGCAAATCAAGATCTTTTATAGGAAATTTATCTTTATAGATTAAAAGATTAGTTATATTTAAAAATTCTTTGTATTTTAAATCAATAAATAATAAATCTCTTAAAATCTCAATAAAAATCTCTTTTATATCTAATATAATTATTTTGTTTATTAACCTTATAGATAATAGAGCTATAAATTATAGCTTTATTAATAAAAAAATTATTTTTAAATTCCAAATATTTATATATTTTTTTCTCTATACCCATTACTTACTTTTAGCTGATAGCAAATCTTTTGATATTCTTTTTTAGTATATATTCCTGGATATACGGATTAATAATTATAAAGAGATAGATTTATTTTATATTATTATTTTATTAATTGCAAACCCTTTAATCCTTAGTTTCTTATAGCTCTAATATCATAATTCTATTATCAATTAATTGATAATAATATTCAAATTTATATCTATATATTGCTTAAGATATTACTGCCCTGCTAATATTATGGTAACTATTATTCTCGATATAGAAAATGATCAAAAAATAACTTTGCTAAAAAATAGCAAAGTTATATCCGACACCTTTAAATTTCCTTTACAAGAGTTTATTCTAAAAACAGTCTTTGTTCCTGATATACCAAATGATCAAAAAATAATTTTGCCAAAAAGTGGTAAAGTTATATCCAATATCCCTGAACCTCCTTTATGGAAGCTTATTCTCAAATCAGTTTTTGTAAAAGGAATTATTAATAAAAGTTTTAAAATCATTTTGTTACCACTTTGAGACCAATCTGTAGTTCTCGAATCTATTATCGAAATCTCAAAAACGCTCAAATCAGGAATATTCGAATTTATTTCGAGAAATACTTTATGGGCTTCAACATTTTTAGAAAAATCTAATGAAAAATATAGTATCTAATAAAAATTGGATAATATTAAATATCTTATTGCTATTAGTTTTATTCAGTTTTATAAAAATCAGAATATATATATTATAAAACTAATCTAAAACAAATTGAATATTGTTTACAAATTATATTAAATATTAATAAACAACCCTATTTAATTATACTATAATATTATGGAAAGCGATATTAAGAAATTTATAAAGAAAATCAATTATCTAATACTATTTATAGTTAATATTCAAAGTAAATTATTATTTTAATTGTATAATCTATACACAGAATTCCTGTCCTTACTTGTTAATAAGCTTTTTTCTAGATATTTCTGAAATTACAAAATTGAATTTATATTAAATAAGAAATTGTTATATAACAAAGGACATCTAATATTCCTAGTTAAATTTTAGGTTATATATAAATAATTCAATAATAATTTAAATAAAAGATTTATTTACAAATCCTATTTTAGATTAGCTACTTTACTTCTATTAGCTACAAAGTCTAAAAAGAATATTCGGATTTATCAAAATTATTGTAAACTGAACAATATTATTATTAAGAATCAATATCCCTTGCTATTAATCAAAAAGACTTTCAATACCTTATACTATATAAAAGTCTATATCAAATTGAATATTATTACTATATTTAATAAATTAAGAATTATAGAAGATTATAAATAAAAAATGATTTTTATAACTCGTTTTAGTCTTTTCGAATTCCTAATAATACCTTTTGGTTTTTATAATGCCTTTATATTGTTTCAAAACTATATTAATCATATCCTTTTTAATCTTTTGAATAAAAACTATACTACATATCTAAATAATATTTTGATTTACTCTATTAATATTATAGATTATCGAAAACAAATTTATAAGATTATACAGAGGTTGATTGATATTAGTTTACAAATTGATATTGAGAAATATAAATTTAAAACTATATAAATCAAATACCTCGAATTAATTATTATATTTAATAAGATCGAAATGAATCTAGATAAAATCAAAATAATTTTTAATTAGAAATTATTAATAAAATTAAAAGATCTTCAATATTTTCTTAGATTTATTAATTTTTATTAATATTTTATTTATAACTTTTTTAAGATTATAAAACCACTTAATTGTTTATTGAAAAAGGAGTTTATATAATATTAAATTATTGATTACAAAATGGCTTTTAATAATCTGAAATAAATATTTATTTCTATTCCAATCCTTACAATATTTGACCATTATTATTATATAGTTATTGAAACAGATATTTCTGATTGGGCTGCAGGAGAGGTTATCTCTCAATATAATAATGAAAATCGCTTACAATCAGTTACTTATTTTTTATCAAAACATAATATAGCTGAATATAATTATAAAATCTATAATAAGAAGCTGCTAGCAATTATTAAGTTCTTAAAGGAATAAAGACTCGAGCTATATAGAACTCAGGAATTATTTGAGATTATTATCAATTATAAGAATTTGGAATACTTTATATCAACAAAGATATTAAATCAAAGGCAAACAAGGTAGGCAAAGTTCCTTTTAGGATTCAATTTTTGTATTATATATTAATTAGGCTATAAGGCAATTCGTTTTGATATTTTTAGCAAAAAAGCAAAGGATCGCCCAGCACATGCCGATCTCAATAATGACTGGATCAAGAATTATCTACAAATAGTATTCCCAAAACGAATATTCGATATAACTATATATAAAGATCTTATTAAATAAACAAACAATACTACTGACCTCATTATAGTCCCTATAAATATAATCATCCCTAATATTAAAAAGCTGATTAATAATCTTATTGATAAAGTATACAACTCATCCGTATTAGTTATTAGCATATATAAAACACTTTGAAATTCTACCGCTTATCATTAGCTATTAGCAATCAGAAAAGATCTCCAGATAACTCTTCAAGATTATAAACTAATCAATAAATAGATATTCTATTAGAATTGATTATTTATTCTTCTATCTGCTGAGCTCTGTATATAAATCATTTATTGAATATACTCAACCAAACCTATCAAATACCTAGACTATATTAAAACTATTGATCTCATCTTCCATACATATTAATAGTCTAATATAATAAGAGAGATTGAAGCTTATATACAAGCCTATCAATTATATTTTTATATAAAATCTTCTTGCCTTGTAGCCCCCAGATTTCTCGAATTCTTGTTAATCCTATTCTAATTCTAATCTAATATTTCTATTGACTATATTACACTATTGTTAATTTGTGAACATTACAATTATAAGTATAATCATATAATTACTGTTATTTGCTGTTTAATAAAAATATATTATTTTATATTGGTAATAGGATTATTTATAGAGGAATTCGTTAATCACTTTATTGAGAAAGTTTATTGCTTATATAATACACCCAATAATATTGTATCTGATAAAAGCTTGCAATTTATATTAGTATTTTGAATATATCTCTCCGAATACTTATTGATTATTTTAAAACAATTTTTTTTGTTTTACCCCAAAATGGATGGTTAAATAGAGAGATTCAATATTATAATAAAACAATATTTATAAGCTTTTATAAATTTTTATCAGAATAATTGATATAACTGATTATTATTAGCAAAGTTTGCATTCAACAATATTATTTCAGAAACTATCGGTGTATCCCCATTCTTCGCTAATTATGGTTTCTATTCGCGATTTGAAGTCGAATTCTTCTCATCTGTTCCACCAAACCTTTTATATCAACAAAAACGCGAATTTCTGAAAGTTAATAAGATTATAGATTAGTTTAATATTATTTTAACAAAACTGAAAGCCTTGACTGCCTAAGCTATTCAGAAATATGAAGATTATACAAACGAAATGTATACCAATACTTTTTTATATAAAGAGAAGAATATAGTGTAAATTAACACTAAAAATATAAAAACTAATCAATCTATGAAAAAGAGTAATAATAAATAAATTGAGTTTTATAAGATTCTAAAAGTTTATAAATATACCTACCTACTCTAATTACCTAATATTTTCAAGATTTTTTTAATATTCCATAATTTACTATTCAAGTTATTTTATAATTCAATTAGATTAGTTAATTAAGCTATAATCAATAAAGCAAAGTTTTATTATAATCAAAATCGAATTCTAAAAAAAAATAATAATATAAATGAAGAAATTGAATAATAGAAATTTGATAAATTGCTCGATTGTTATAATAAAAACAGATTTTATTATTAAATCAAATAGAAACACTATCCGCTGTTATGGCAATCAGTTAAGAATCTCAAAAATTAGGAGAAAACGATTATTATATTTCATTTAGCAAATCCAGATAAATCAAATCCTCCCATATGGGTAGAATTTAAAAGGTCTGTTATCTTAAATAATCCTATATTAAGTATAATCCCAAAACAAGAGTGGGGTAGGCCAAAAAAGGGTTATCAGTTGATTATAGGTCTTAAAAAAGTTCATTTCAATTTTATAACAGAAATCAGAGTTTTCTAATATTATCCTGGGAGATTTTAGATTCTTATTTAATCAAATTCGTTATTTATTTAATTTAAATATAATAATAAACTAGTTTTATAAATTGATTTCTTATTACAATTTTGCCGAAAATTAATAAAATTAACCGGATTGTATTTTAGCTTGTTTGGGATAAGCAAGCCTTAAAAGGGAGGTATTATCACAATACTAATTACATTGCCTTTATACTTTAGGCATACACCATTAGCATACCCTACTTCCTATAAGAGGGCCTTATTCTTCTATAGCTCTTCCATTCTTATGGTATAATATAAGTCTTTACCCATACCTTGACAATAGTGAGGTAGTAATTCATTTTATTCCTAAAAAAAAGTAAAAAACTCTCTTTTAATATTATTTTATAATGGCTATATCCAGATTATATAAATCTAGTGTTAGGAGTTAAAAGATTATTACAATCTAATAGATTTTATTAAGTACCTTATAAACTTAAGCTAAAAATATGTTTAATAAAGGAATTTGTGTAGTATAAATGTAAGAATAAATTAATGTGTCGTAGATAGTTTAGATTATATTATTTAAAGTTTTTTAAAAAGCTTTTTTCAAATGAAATTAATATTATAAAATTTATTAATAAATGGTTTTTAGGGTATTTAAAGCATGCTAGTATTTTTTTGAGAGTAATAATTAAGAAGATATTATTATTTAAATTTTATATATTATTATAAATAATTATATATTAATGAATAATATATAAACATTAAAAATTCTGGAAAAAATCGAGCTATATATTATTAATTTCCTATATTTCAATTAATGTAATATGGTACCATTGTTTAATTAATATATTAAATGAATTATTAAAGAATATAAAGATTCTATTATCTCTATATTTAAAATAAAAGTTTTAGTGTTAAATTGCTTTTTATTGTATTTTATAATAAATTGGGATAAAATCTCTTTTCCATTTAAATATATAAATATTAGAATATATGATTTTAAAAAAAATAAGATGGTTATATTTTGTATAATATCTAGTGGGGATAATAAGTATTAAGCTATCTTTATTTTATATGTATTTATAGATAAAAATTTTTATTTAAAATCTAAATTAATATTTTATGGCAAGTTTTTAAATGAAAATAATCAAATAGAATGAGAGGAGAAGTATTTATATTATAAAAAAATTATAATAAAATTCAATGAGAGTATATATAATAATACAATTTTAATAGAAAAGTGGATAAAAAAATTATTTTATAGATTAAATTTCTTTCTAAATTATCTCTTTTTATGCTAATGGATTATGCTGGCTTTTATAAAATAAATAAAATTCTATAAGTATTATATTCTCAAAACATAATAATATTAATAATATTATTAGGGTGTATAAGCTATTTATAGTTTTTTAATATATATATAAATAAGGTATTTAAAGTTTTATTATTAGATGTTTAGAAAGATTATATAGAGGAGGAAGAAAAAAGATGTAAAAAATCTATTTTGGAGTGAAATTTAAATTAAAAAAGAGTTATGATAATTTATATTATTGGTATTGTATAGTATAAATTGATTATAAAATAATATTATATTGATTTAATCAAAAAGTCTTTTATGGATTTAGGAATAAATTTGTCTATTAATAATTTCTAAAATCATTTAATTAATATAAAAAACTTTAAGAATATAAAGGTTAAAGATTATACTAAAATAAACCCTGAATTTAAGGGATTTTATAAAAAGAAATAAATTTCTTGAAATAAATCTAAAAAATTGGAGATTATAATTGAGGACTTTATTAATAGATGTTATGAGGGTATAATGATTAAATAGTTTAAAAAGTGCTTTGAATTTAAAGGGATTATATTTGGTAAGTATAAAAAAAAGATTGAATTAATTATTATATTAAAAGAATGGGATTTAAAGAATTTATAGAAAGTAGATGGTCTGATTTTATAAAAAGTTTATTATTTTTATTATTATTATTTATACTATTAAATATATCAATTTGAAAGAATTCTATTAAATAATTATTATATAAAAGTATAATTAAAAATAAATATATTTATTAATATTCAAGATTCAATATCATTTTTTAAATATATATATAGTTTTAATACCTTGAAATCTTATAATTGTTTAATAATTCCAACTTTCAGGGTTTTTATAGGTTAGATTGCTTTGGATTTATTAATATT